GAATTCATGGTTTTACAAACAAAGTCGCACGGGAAAGACACGAAAAAAGACACGTGATCGACTGACTATGAGTGCCAGCAGGTCTCTTGCCGATCTCCTTCGACAATCTCGCCGCTTCACCAGCGAAACCTCGACTGAGCGTCGGATTTGCCTTGCATGCGAGTACCACGTACAATCAGGCAAACGTAAATGCTTACGAGGCAATTATGAAGTACCCTCGAAGATAGATAAATCGATCACTCAATTATTTTCCATAAAAAATTCAATTCCTTCATTATTTTAAGAATATATTTAATTCAGTAGAGAGTAAGTAGAAAATTATATGGAATTTTCAAAATCAAATATTTAACTTGTATTAAGTATTTAACAATAATAACAACCAATTAACTAAACATAGATAAACATAGAAAACATAGAAAACATAGAAAACATAGAAAACATAGAAAACATAAATACAATGATAAATGTAAGTCTATATGTTTAAGATAACTTGATCATTGCTACAGTAAGAATTTTTATCTGTCTAAGTAGATATTCTTATATAATATCTAAATTATTACAAACGCCATTTTGACATTATTACATAAAATTTATCTATTATTATACAAACAATACCATTTTTTACTTCTATTTTAGTTTTTCAGTATATTCCTCGGCAATCTATTGAATACAAAGATAAGTTTTTACCAAGTTTTGATAGTCATGGATCATTACGCTATAAAATAAGTATCATAAACAAGTGATAAGTTTTCTTTATCAACGAATCTGATTACATAATCGTACATTCTCCAGCGTGAGAATTTGCTATTACTCAAATATTTTATTTACAAGTAAAAGTCGCGGGTAGATTCTATTTATACAAATGCATGTGTAATGTATACTGAAGAATATGGCGCATTTCATAATGACAATGACTCACTTGCATTCTTATGCATCAACAATGTATGCATTACGTTGCTAAACTTAGTTAAACCTCTCTTGCAATTCATACAAACACTATTTCCACAGAAGAAAAGTTCCAGCGACCGTTAGAAGCACCGATGCGTCTGAAATCAACGAGGCATCTGTCTACGAACTAATCTCGAGGGTATCGTGTACACCCATCACCGGGGTATTGTGTATTATTACATGGCCTGTTCTTTTTAGCTAAACTTTTTGTACGGTTCATTTTTGTTCTCTTTTTTTCTTCAATGTGGAGAGAAAAGGGGAGAAGATGAATCGTACAAAAAGTACAGGTAAAAACAACTGACCTATATTCGTATTGTATATTGTTATTGTGTTTTTACTATAGTTATTATTATATACATAATATTACAATTTACGTGGAAATGTGACGTTGAAGATGACGCATAATAATGCAAAAAATAAAATCTTTGAAGTGGAATCTAATTCTAAAGAGTGTAAAATCCCACTCTTAAAAATTGACGATTGAGTTTCTTTTTTCAACACTGGTTCGATCTCGATTGTCACTCTTTGCCACTCTTTAGAATTAGATTCCACTCCAAATATCTTAGGGAGATATAGAGACAGAAGAATGCAAAAAATAAGATACATTTAAAAATTGTGTAAAAGGTATGTTAAAGATGTGTTTCACGAAAAAACTTACAAGAAATAGGAAAATATTCACAAAATGTTTAACTAACTTAAGTAATAATTTATTTATTATATCAGATTATAAAGTTTAGAGAAACGTTGTTCGTTTGTTATTATGCACGCATAAAAACAGTGGATACCACGCACATATCATGCATACGAAGATACTCGTATTGTTATAAAGTCTCATGATAACGATTGTCCAGCAAATGGACTACTATCAATCGAGAGTGCCGATGAGTACGCAGTTCTTGAATAGCATCATAGCGATGTAATGTTTCTTTGTGCTTCTAATTTGAAGGACTTCCAATTGATAGTAATCGGTTTCATTACATGTGTGCGCGCGATCTATTTGATTTTCCACTTAGAGGTTTAAGACCTCCACAATGGTTTGATCGATGTTTATGACCAATTGTTGAATTTGAAAACGATTCGTGCAAGATTATTTTAAATCCGATTGTTTTGATTTATTTCATTACTTCTAATATTTATTTTACCTTTTTTTGTCAAATTAATAATTTCGTTATCCAGTTTATTCGGTGGAAAGAGATGCATTTCTGCCGAATCCAATAAAGTAAAATTGTCTCAATCAATTTGTTAATCAAACCACCTTTCCGCAACAGAAATGAATTATCTATTATCATTTAATATCATTTAATTTATGATGTGCAATGAGATTTGTCAATCGTCAAGAAGGTACATTTTTACCTTTATATATATATATATACACAATTGATAAAATTAAAAATTGCCGCTATGATTCTTTATTCTTTTCTGATATAAATGTTTTCTGACGATTAAGATTATCTCATTTAATATTACATTTTAGATTACAGTAATGCATTCTGTTGAAACTTTGACATTGTGTGCGAAGGTTGGAAGCACGATATCGGAATGACGGAACGTGAGAGAATTTTGAAATTTAAATTCCTTGTTGGCTCACTTGAAATGCACATAAAATATAGCGATCGTGACATAGTAAGATTAAAGAATGATTTTAAATTTAGTTAAACGTGCCTATTTCCTTTTATCCGTAATACAATTTGGATTTCATTTCTTATCTATTCATTTCTTATCTATCACTATATTCCAAGGATGTAAGAAGTCCAGTAATAACGTAGGAATAACAATATTTTTTTATAGAACTTCGTAAGATAATCGACAAAAAAACTTACATTCATTCATCATGTTTATAAAACAGTTTATTTAAAATTTTTATATGTATTTATTACTTTAAAAATTATTTAAAATAATATTATGAATTTATAATAATCGCATTCCGACTCACTGATTCTAATAATACATTCTTACGAAAGAAAGTCTAAAGTCATCATAATTATAAAGTTTATAAACGATGAAGAATGTAGAAACATAATTGCATTTGTGCAATATATTTCTTTACATGTGCCTCGGGCAAATGACGCGGACCTACTTTTCAAGGCGGCCCGTAATGAATTAAATTAACTCACGACTGCGAAACACTGTAAATAAAGTTATGTCAAAATCTAGAGTAGCCAAGCCGCTCTCTGATTTCGAGATGCCAGTTTCGTTTCAGTATACAAGAAACTTACGTCATTCTGTCGTAACGTCTTTTAAGTACTATGTTCTCTATCATTTATTCCAATATCTTTTAAAGTCACAAACTACAAAAGGGGTTTTTTATAATTAAGATTTTATAATTAATTTTTCAAAATATCTAAAAAATTTTGTTAATTTAATCGACAAAAGCATAATATATATATATATATATACTAATTTATATTTATTTATTTATATATATTATATTAAATTTTATGTATGCCTATAAAAATAATTAAAAAACATATAAATAAAAAAAAACGAATATAAATTACAGTTTTTAAGTTGGGGAACTTGGGGGGATTATTAATATTTTCAGATTTGATTGCGTTGAAAGTCCGACAACCATATCGGCACGCAATTATCAAAAAATATTTATTATGAATATATATATAAGAATCATTTAAAATTAAAATTTGTTTACATTTCAAAAATATAGATATATATTATTTCAAAATATGTACTTTAAATGGAACAGAAAATATTTTGCGTCGATTATCTCGAAAAATGATAAATACGTGATAAAATGATCACATTATGTATCATGCCACTCTTTAAAAAAATTCAGAGACCTGAATTATATATACAAAATCTGAAATTTCATCTATAGATTAAATCGCGTAAAAATTTATCAAAACTGTAACGGTACACATTATATTTCACGATAAAGACAGGCGATCCTCGTCATCCGGTCATTATCGCGTGCGTGGAATTTATCACTACGCAATCGCTCGCGATCGCGCGAGGAAAAAAAATTACATCGTACGATGCATTATCGATGAGTTTTCTCATAACGACGTCGCCACGTCGGGCGCGTTTTAATCTCGAAAACACGTCTGTCCCTCTCTTGTCTTCTCCCGCGATTTAATTTTATCGGCGAGCCTTTTTGCGCCGTTCTTGAGAGCGCGTGCGTTATATCTTCGCGAAATATCTTAAGATGCACCGCGCGCACGAAAGGCATCCGTCATTTTCGGTCTAACAGACTCACTTCTTTGGTGCCCCGCCATTCTTGATTCTTGAACCTTGACGCTACCCTGCTCGATGAAATTCCCCCTTCGCCGATTTACTTTCGGCACAGCCGAATATACGTCCGTTTCGCGGCAATTCGTGTTGCCTTGCCGCCAAAACGACACAATCACGCGCAACTTTGAGGCAGTTATTGAGGTTAAGCATTCGCAGGCCTGTTCTTTTAGGCTAAACTTTTGCACCAGTTCGTCTTTCTTCCTTTTCTCTCCGGGAGGAAAGACGAGGAAGGAAGATAAACTGGTGCAAAAGTTCAGCCAAAAAGAACAGATATAATGCGAATAATGTTCTCTTCTTCCTCTCCATTTCCAGTATTCCTACAATTTCTTATCGTCCCCCCAGAGACTCTTCTCGCGATTTCTTCATCTTCAGCGCGATAAAAACGGCGCGCGATTATTAAACGATTTTAATTGCTTTTAGCACGACAGAGGAAAAGAGAAAAAGAGACACGAATTTTCTCTCTTAAATATACAGAATCTATTTTTTTACGCAATTTTCATGCATTTTATTCACACGAAACATACGTGTCGACTGAAAAGGTGAAAAGAAAGACGAGAAGTAAATACAGGATTGCATTCGAAAGAGAACTAATATTTGTTTTATCTAATTGATTTTTTATTTGTTTTGATCTTAAGAAACTGGACTTCGCGTTTGTGTATATTCTGATAATTCTGATATAGCAATAATTTCATGCTGCGTGTTCTATGGCACTCTATCGTTTTTAAATTGCGAATGCGAAAAGAAAACACGATCGAGTAAAACACGAGGGAACACAATTGAAATTGAAAGTATACGCTGCCGCCATCTGGTCGCCCAGGGTTGCATTTTCTTGAAACTCTTGAAAGTCGAACGCGATTGTTGTTGCGACCAACTCCGGCAGACGTTTTTGCAAGAAAAATTAATGTACGTCTAGTAAAAGTTTTTAATGCTTATCAGAATTGTATTTTGATTTTAACTGTGTTTATATGTCGACATAAAAAAAATCATGTGTTCATTAACGTAGATCTAATGAAAATCTTAACCTCACTTTCTTAAAGAAATTTATATATAATTCTAAATTATTTTACTCTCTCTCTGTATATTTATATAATATTCATTTTTGTAGTTTATCACATGATAAATATATTACATTACAGAGAGATGAAATTGACGTCGATATTATTTCGTAAGACAGCGAGACAGCCACAGAATGAAAAGAAGGTGCCTTTTAAGGAGATTTTGCCGTTACAATTGAGGAATTTTGTGAGCGGGAAGAATCAGAGAACAGCAGGTATATTTAACTCTTCGGAACTGATGGGGTTTATTGGTCCTATTCAATTATATTACTTTGGAATTGACGGTGGATCTCTATTTGCTCTCCACTCAATTATAAATCTCTGCCAAGATTGTCAAACAATTCAATTTTCTATTACATTTACAAATTTAAATTATTCTTATTAAAATATATTTAGGCTTGTCTTCATAATATATGATTACCTAAAAATTAAAGGTTACCAAGAAATTCATCAGTGAAATTCATTCATGAATTGCTTGATAATCTGTAATTTTTAAGTAATCGTATCGTGAAAACAAACCTTAGTGTGTTGATTCTTTTTAATGTTTATTTTGATTCCTTGAAATTAATTAGTGCCTTTTAATTAATATAAATTAAATGGATCTTACAGATCTATCGTCAGTAACTGTATCATAGATTTTGGTATCAGCTCTAAAGGGTTAAAAAGCAATTTTATCTTTTTGTTATACGACCTCTAGTTATACATTTGTTATAATACAACTGATCATAGAGTGTAAATTTCATTCTGCACAGAATGTATCAATATTTATTACAATTGACAATATAATTAACATTCAAGAGAATTTTATAATTTTATATATATATATATAATTTTAATATATTTATAATTTTAATATATTTCTATTTCCAGAAAAGGGATGTTTATTAGAAATGTCCTTGCTTTTGACGTGTCTTGAACAAAATGAGTTTGAAGACAAAAGATGTATCCCACAATTCAAAGCATTAAATCAATGCTACCAAGTTTACACAAGTAATATGGAGCGTATACGTTCTTCAAAGGAACAAATAGTGCCTGTACCTAACAGTAAGAACTTGACGCATAAACAGGTTACATATCTTCTAAGAAGATATCCTACAGTATAGTGCTTTTCTTTCTGTAGTGCTACATCAATGCATTAACATATAATACATTGTAAAACAATTTAGATTATTATCATACTTAACACTTAAATGTATTAAAAACTGTTTCTGTAAATATTTATGAAGATCTATAAATGTTTATTTCCATTTGTACAATTGTCTTATTAAAGTATGTACATATATGACGATTTTTTTTAAATTTAAAATAATTATTTTCCATTTTTAACATCGACGATATCCTGTTTATCAGAAACTGTATGCAAACGTTTCAACGCAAGCCGTTGCGAGTAACCTAAATGTGATACAATCTATTATGCAAAAGTTTGATATCCACGCATCCATATAAAATTGTACATTAAATACATACGAATTGGTTGGTCAATGGTGGAAATAATTGGAGTTTTCTGTATGATATTCAACTGCTGCTCGATTCTTTGTAAAGCTTTATAATTCTCTAATTGTCTATCTTTATAATAATAATATGTACAGAATAATGTTATAGCACAAAGTATTAAAGCAATTTTTCTGCACAACCATGTTGTACTTAGCAGGTGCGCCTATAAGAGAAAATGGAATATTATTATGAAAAACAATTTTTTTAACTTTATTATAATATTACCTTATCATCTGGAGATTGAAGAATAATCTTATCATAATATTGAACAAGTATTCTTTCAATCACTATATTCAAACTTAGGATACTAAAGAGCGCAACTCTTGCATCAACCGTTCTTTTAGAAGAACTGAATAATGCACAGAGAATGCAGCTGACAGTATAAAATATAATAGATTGAAACCAAGACACTTCTCCGATAATCCAGCTTTGGAAAGTACGTATATATGAGAAGATCTCATAAAGTAGCTCCTTCTGATCTTTAGCCGATTCTCTAAAATTTCATCAAGAGTTTCAAATCAACAGTTTATAGTAATTTCCATTTGACTAAATTTTTAAACATTACAAAAATCATCCTTACAAACTCACTTAAAATCCGACACCATATTACTGACTGTATCAGACGAAGTCTTTAATACAGTTCCGAGTTCCTTGCCATGATCTAAAAGCTCGTTTTGAATACGCAAACCCTCCTTTTGACTGTTCAAAATTATACCCTGCATTTCCGATGCTTCTAATAGTTGATCCTTCATTCGGGAAGATATTTGAAACAATCTAAATATGTAGAGTGATTAAATATAGTTCAAATATGTAGAAATATGTGAGTTTTTATATTTCACATAATATTAGAGTGTTATGTATGCACTTACAGCTTTACAGTAGTTTCAACTTCAGTTTGCCAAGCTTCATGATTTAAAAAGAAACAGATATGAGTTGCGTGAGTGTAGAATTCATTGTAAACACTAAAGGCTCGGTCTGTCATGTCGCCAATGCATTTCCTATGAAATAAAATATTGACGAGTTATTACAAAATTAGGCATAAAATATAAGTAACAAAAAATACTCGTTTTACCGACGCTCGTCTTCTGTTTCACTGAAATGGCAATTGTAGACTGTGTGACCAGAATCCTCTAAGAAGCAATTTGCTAGGTGAAGGGCAAGAAGCGAATGTTCGTGATCGTTCAATTTGTCGCAGTTGCTCTGCAATGTTTGGAGCGCAGCATGCCAACATTTTCCATGTTGCGGCAATGATGATTTTGCTAAAAATGATATGTTTTTTATGTATTCCCTGTTAACTATCATTCTCATCAATTACCACTTTTCAATTTCTTACCTTTTATCAAAGAATACTCTTTTTCTCCCAAATCTCTTAAGACCGTATTGCCATTACTAGCCATTACTAATGTTTCATAGATAATAAATAACAAAAGCCAAATCATCTTGGAGTTAAATGTACAGCCCTTTCAGATTTTACGAACTTTCAGGAAATGTATATTAATGTAGTCCTCCATTATTCTGTTAGATGACACATTTGAAGTAAATAAAACAATTTTACTGTTACGATACAGAAAAATACAGAGATAAAATACATAGATATAGGGTATGTTTTATATCTATAATTATATCATACTCATGTGAGGGCTTCACGAGCGAATGAAAAGCGACAATTAACTGCACAGTTAATCAAAGATAAAATTAATAGCAAAAATACCACAGTTTGAGCTTAATAAATCCACAGACCCGACCTCCAAACATTTACAAACATCTACGCATTCACATACATTTTTACATATGTACATATACTTTTAAACGATAATATGATAAACAGCTGGCGAAAAGTCAAAATAAAGCTAAGTTAATTAAAATTGAAACTATCGTTTAAAAAAAAATTCTGTTGACTTGGAAATACACTACGAAAATTTAAAAAAAAATAGAAAAATTGCGTTTTTCGGAATTTTTGAACAAGAATTTGCACGATTATTTCAACTTTTTGATCTGTTTGCGAACAAAGCACATCGTTCTCACTCATTATTCACGCCAATTATTCGAAATTGCTGGTAATGACACATGTTAGAATTTGAACAACCAGTAACAGACACATTAAATATTTTTGAAGTCGGAGACCGCAGCGTCGGATTTGAATCGGCTTGTAACGGACAGTTCCTCAATCTGGCGCGACTGTAAACACCTGCGCTGAATTGCGTCTGAATCCGTGGCTGTTTGCCGTATACTAGCGCCCTCATAGAAGATTCGTATTTCATGGTGACTGGGGAAAATAGCAAGTGGCAGAAATCATGAAGGAAAGAAGAAATCTCCTTCATAGCACAAAAGTCAGTATTATAATTCTAGTAAAATTACAGCAATTAAATTTGACATCATTATGTAACGTTCCAGTAATAATAGGTCTGTCTTTTGTAGCTGAACTTTTTGAACAGTTCATATCTCTCTCTCTCTCTCTCTTTCTCTCTTCCCTTTTCTCTTTAACTTGAATAGAAAAAAAGGAAACAAGAACCTCAGCTGTAAAGAACAGGCTTAATATTACAGTAATATTTCAACTGCAGTTACTGCAGTTTTGTACTCCAATGGTTTGAAAACGGAGGCTCTGTATATTTTTCGTATCCCTTGTGCACTTCGGGTGCATTCAGAGAACGTATTAGGCCGGAATCAGACTATACATTGAAGATTGAGGTTGAAGATTGAAAAATTCAAATTTGACCAATCGAAATGAAAGGAGCTAAAATTTCTTTGTCCTTATTGGTCAAATTTCAATCTTCAATGCGTTGTCTGATTCCGGCCTTATGCCCGTGTCACACTACGCATTGGAGACTGAGGATTGCGAATTGAGGATTAGAATTCAGCCAATTAGAACGAAATGGATTAAACTTAAAATTACTTGATTGGTCGAATTCTAATCCTTAATTCGCAATCCTCAATCTCCAATGCGTAGTGTGACACGGGCATTAGGCTTGGTCTTTTTGGTTGAACTTTTGCACCAATTCATCTTCTTCTTTCCTCCTGGAGAGAAAAGGAAGAAAGATGAACTGGTGCAAAAGTTCAGCCAAAAAGAACAGGCCTATTGTAATATAAATAGAGAAAAGTTTAAGAGCGGCCTTTTTCGTGTGACGCGTACGCCAGCATATCAATGTCTACTTTTGCGATAAGGAAACTATGGCCCGTATTCATAGTCAGGCCTTATATTTAAGGCTTCCTTAAATTTATCTTCAGATGCTCTACGAATTATTTTATTGGCTACTGAGCATCTAAAGATAAATTTAAGGAAGCCTTAAGTATAAGATCTGACTATGAATACGAGCATATAAGTATCTCATATCTATTTTGTAAAATTGTTGTTTGATAAAATCGTAGTGTCGAAAATGAATGTGGTGCGTGTCCGTACTAATAAGAGCCAATCCTGGCAGCTCTTATTAGCATGGATACATCAAGAAAAGGAAAGTTACTTCTTAAAAATAACGATAAGTTATCGTTACCAAGTCAAAAAAGTAAACTACTTACTACAGTTACTATAGTTACTGATTTTCAAAAGTTAGTAACTCGTTATCGTTATCGTTACTTGAAAAATAAACGATTCTTTTACGTTACTTTTTTATATAATATATAGTTTTAAAATCTTCGAAGAAACTATTTTTTTTCGGAAAAGATCCGAAAAAGACGAGTTTTTCACATTTTTTCCGCAGATTTTCTCAATTTTTTTTTAAGAGTAGAAAAATTCATGGAAGAATGAACATGTTTGTAAAACCTGCCATATTTGCTTCTTTATATAAATAAGTTTAGTTTAATTTCCTTTTGCAATTTGAAAATAGCAATTTTAAATAAAAAATTACTTTCGTAATATTTTTAAAAATATTAGATAAAAAATAACAATATTAATAAAATTTATGTAAAATTTGCGAAATACAAAAAGTTTAAGAAAAAAGATTTTAAAATGCTTAAAATGTAAACAAAAAATATTTTATTTTCGATACGTTTATGAATACAGCCAAATTTATATATTTTTGTACTTGCAATTTTATATTTAAAAATTTTAATAGAATATTTTTACACTTAAATATATTTTGACTTAAAATTGTTCTTAAAATGTATAAAATTACGAGAATTATTCAGATCTAGGAATTAGGATATAGTATATCCCAATAGAATTATAGGAAATAGAATTATTTAAATAATTTGGATATGAATATACATTATGCGGAATCATCTGAATTATATATAAAATTGCAAAGATTGAGTAGGATTACATCAAAATGTCATAAACTTGTCAAATTTTACATCTTTTATTTACAGTAAGCAAAAGTTGCTACTCTATTATATCATCGTTTAAATATCCTCTTGGCAGTCTTTCAGATGGCAACATTAGCGATACTATCTTCCTCGATTATAAAATCGTTATTTCTTAACTTCGAACTATCACAAATCGTATTTGTGATACATTTTATCATTTAAATATATTCTCATATATCTTCCTATGGCTGCGAAAGAATAAAGTTTTACCATGGGGAGTCCAAGTATGAAAAAGCGGAACGGAATCATTCTGATCGGTTAGCTTTTATTCTGTTTTCTTTCCGTTATTGTTCCGTTCCGCTGTTTCTTTCTCCATTGAGACGTACCCTTAAAATTATTCTTAAGACGATTTTAAATATAATAACAAATCATATCACACATTGTA